AGAGTATGGTAGCCGAACAGCCCAGCAACCCATAGAGAACGAGCAAGGCCTTCCCCGTAACAGTGATCGGGGCTGTCACTCCGAACCCTAAAAGAAACATTTATGGTTAATACTCTCATCTGCAATTACAGACTCTATCATACCATTAATGTCCTTGCACATAGAATTGTATTTTTACCACTGTTAAATGTGTTGTGTTACGCCATGGCCTAGCAAGTGCATTTTGGCAATATTAGGATGGATGTAAGTTTTACTATGTAATATTTAAAACAAGAAATCACCTGCCTTTTTACTTATAAAGCTATAGAAATTAGATGATAAAACACTGAAGAACTTTGGTGTCTGTATATGTCCTATTGTCCTGCATATTTTTTCTTTCTGACCGGTTATAAATGATTTATTTAATGTGCTTAAGAATAAAAGGGTGCACCTGGCAAAGTTACACTTTTATGCTGGTGTGCATAAAAATAAAGCATAAAAGCCTGGTATCCTTTTTGGCCATAAAAGTGTTTACGCTTCCTCCAAGTTCCCTTGAACCATAATTGACCTTGGTCAAATGAGACCATGTGATATATTGAACTTTGCCAAGTAGCAGAAGTCGTGGCGGGGGTTTTGGCTTCCCTCCTTCCCCCGGTTTGTTCTTGTATTATTAATGACCGGATTGTACTGATTTCATCAATCCCCCAAGGAGGTATAAATTGTATTAATGTCTGTGACGTCGTGACCTTTACCCCAAAACAATTCAGCAGCTGCTGTAAAGCATCTATTTAATATTTAAGACGAACTTATCTGTTAAAAACATTTGACAAGTACACACCCAAGTACACTACTTAAGTGCGATTTTGAGATAGTACTTTACTTCAGTATTTTAATTGTTCTCCCCACTACAATTCAGAGCTTAATCGTGTACTTTTACTCCACTACATTTATTTCATACACTAGGTTCCTTTGCAGATTTATGATATGAAATATAATTAATACCTAAATAAGACTTTGGTCAGACCTGGAGTAACATTCATAAGCTAACCTGCAGTATATAAAGTAATTAGATGTACCTACATGTTTACCAGCTGTGATAAACACATTAATGCATCAATAATTGTAAACAAAACATAGTATTAGAAAATGGGATAATCTGCTTAATGAGTATTTTTACTTTTGGTATTTTAAGTATATTTTCATTGTAAGACTTTTACTTGAGAAATATTTGCATTGCAGGCTTTTTACTTGTAACAGAGTATTCCAAGATTGTGGTGTTTCTACTTTCTAAGATATGAGTACTTCTTCCACCTCTGACAGCAGGTAATCCCACCCGTATCACAGCATTTTGTGTTATAGTCACGAAATGTAATCTATTGATTCGTTTTCACCAACAGGATTTTCCCATTTTATGACTATAGCACAAAATGCCGTGAGACTGGGTTAGGTATTCAAAGTAACTTCACCTCGATCCATAAAACTATGGCTTACACTAACATCCTCCTTGTAAAACAAATTTTACTCATATCCTTTACCACGTGTGTCTGTTCCTGTGGTTTCACCCACTCTATCCTCTTAAACTTTTGAAGACTTGTAAGGTCTGGAGGACATCCGAGAGTCAATGAGGCTTGTATTGGAACACTGAAAAGGCCACTTGGACTATTAATGTAAACAGAGGGCACAGGCCACACAGAGACCTGCATATGTTCTCCTGTATTCATATATACAGTAGTGTCATTGATCAGTAACACATTTCAAAAATCCATGTGGATTTCACAACAACACTGACAGGGATAGATCACTGGAGTGTTGCAATAACAGAACTTCCAATCTTTTAGCCATGCTACTACTGTATGATCAGCAATGAAGGCGGTAGCCCACCATGTTATCCTACTGCTACCATATCCTATCCACATTATTATTTCCTTCGGCACCACTGACAGGTAAACATTTTCACTGAGAGATATTTAAAGATATACTTGATGTTTTTCGTACAACAGGGTCTTTCAGCTAGGAATAGAAAAGCAGTTGAGAAGAGGGGAGGAGAGGGGATGGAATAACATGCTGCCAATATTTTTATTGGGAGAGAGTTGAAATATTGGGCTGAGGCTTGGATGATTAAAATAGATCTTCAGCCATTGTTCCCCGCCCAAGTTTTGCTCTTCATATCAACGTCAGGAAATGTCTTTATCGGGTGGACCAGGAGAACCACATGTGAGGTTTATTCCGTTTCGTGAAAAGATTCTTTAGGAATTTTTGTTTTGGTCAGTGGTCTAGAGGAAGGAAAATATATCTGCCAAAGCCATGAGTCATATGAAAAGTAAAGCATTTGATTGTGGGAAAAAAAGTTTGTCAGGATGTGTTTTAGTGTCACATAGTATCCTGATTGCGGTCAGTAAACATGGAAGTTGTTGTTAAAAGGAAATTGACCAGGGCTCTGTGCCATCTGTCGCTTGGTTTCCACAGTGACAGAGAGGGACTAAAGATAGTAGATACAATTATAAGTCTGTACATTGATTCTCAGAGATGAGGCTTGTTTCATTTTTATCTTGAGAACATGTTTGTCCTCTACAGGTTAAGGTAGAATATGGATTTGGATTGATTGAGTTTAAAAACAACTCCCCCCTGTATGCCTCCCCAAATCAATATGGCTTAATGTGTCCTTTCTAATTCAGTTCATAGGATTAGTTCATTGTGTGTAATTGTAGATAATTTATTTTGCATGAACATGCTATGGCTTGGTCATAAAGGGATCATCTCTGTGTCAGGAAGTGCTGAACAATTTGCCTTTATCTTATCTGTTGGTTTTTCAATTGCTATTTTTGTGTGTTATTTTAGACCTCAGGACTGTGGGAAACAGTATTTCGATCTTTCTGTGTGTACAAACATATTTTGAGATTGACAATAAAGGTGACTATGACTTTGACTTTGATTTATGTTGCATAAAAATGTTGGCTGCAGTAGTCAGAATAATAGGTGTTGCACTTAGCAATTAACAGTAAAACGAACCGTGTTATATTTCCTATTGCATTTTGAAAGACTGGACATTCATTTGACAAAAATAATCTGCTAAACCACATTATATGTTGCGTGATTTAAAAAAAAAAACATTGGTGAAAATGATGTTGTGCAGAACACTGGAAAGGTAATTGATAAATTGTAGATTAATCAGCTGATGTTACCATTTTTCATACTTTATTCCAGGTATAATGTACCTCATATTCTTCTTGACTCACCAATGGTGGAGACTACTGTTCCCACAAAGTAGAAGGCACCGTGTATATCCCATAGAGCTCTGCCTTGTTCTGCCCTGATGCCTGCAGTCCTGGCCTCTTCATAGTGACACAACAGGGATTTCAGGTCTTCAAGGTTTATGTTATGCTCATAGCTGAAGTCTCTTAGCCTCCTTTCCCAGAGCTGGTGGGCCTTTAGCTCTGCTGGTCTCTCCAAGGAAGAAAATAAGGCAGCGCCAGCCAGCATGTAAAGAGCAATGAGCACACAGAGCAAGGAGATGCGAGCAGTTTCCCTGCTAGGGATCAGGGATGGGCAGCAGCAGGAGAAATATGTCTTCATTGTAGAGTGGATTTTTCTTCTTTGTGTGCTGTAAAGTCAAATGCTATAAGCAAAAGCATCAAGAGCGATGATATTTGCTCAGCTTATTGACACCATCAGAATGGTGAAACAGGAGAGCACATTGTAAGTCTAGTTCTTCTCTCTGCCTTTCTATAGTCATCCATGCACTCCTAGCATATTCAAAGCAACTTAACACATTACTTACACAGCAACAGTTTCCTCAACTGAGAGTCTGTCAGTACGGCAGCGTCTCGGTCTACAGGTGGCATTAACTCTGGCTTTAATGATCTTTGTATGTGTATGGCTTCTGCTTATCACCAGCTCAATAATCCATCTTGACTCTTCTTTTTATGAGCCACAAATATATGCACTCCTGCTCTACCTAGCATAAAACAGACAATATACAGTATGTGTTTACTGCCTGAGTCTGTATCAGATATACTGGTTCTTATGCAATCTGGTCCACGCTCACTGTTAGTGTCAAGTTATGACTCTTCTTTTTCTTTCTGAGAAGAGAACTTCATAATATATTTAGAATGTGCAAGCACTACATATTTCCAATTGATCAGAACACAAGCATCCTGTTTGAGTTTGAAAGTGTGAATCTCAATCACAAAACTTAGCAGTTCCTTATAAGTGTGTTTATATTGGAGAACTATTCAACTGAGAAGTTTTCTCCACTGTTTTAGGCAAGTTTGCAAGTTTAAGTGTAAGACAAACATAAAATGGGTGGGACATCAAAGTAGTTGTGGTTAATTAAATGAGCTAATAGGCAATGGCATGTTAAGTATTTCGATTTTGTCTCGACGGCTGACATTATGTCTGGTATTTTCCCAATGTAGAGGAACACCCCTTGTTCTTCCTCTGAGACTTACTGGAATAACACAATATAAAGCAAGTACTTTAAATGCCACACCAATTAGTCAATGGTTATTTATAACAAGACAACTATTATTTCAGTATTACTGTCAATGGTGATCTTACACTGAAACACCAAAAGAATAGTTGTTTGGCACCATATACTGTATATGTAAAATACATACAAATAAAATACTGTCGCAAAGGCCATGCCCCAGAGTCTTACACTGTAATAATTATTTATTAACATAAGTTTGCTTGCATTGAGCAAAAATAAATCCCATTAAGGTCTTACTTTGGGTAGTGGGACAGCTGTTTGCATGATGTTTTATTGTTTGCAAATTTTCTGTGAAGATGTGTGCTAAATTTGGATGGAAAACGTAATAGTTTTAGCTTCAGAGGCACACACAAAACAACAGACCATGTCATGGTCTTTACTTTAAGCCCCCAAGCTCATGCTCAAAATAAGGCAAGTCATAACAAGTTGTATTATGATTGTATTATGATTGTATTTTATTGCGATACAATGTATAAAACACAAAGGACAAAAGGATTTCCTGTCCTATATTCAAATAAACATGCAATAGATATGTAATACCAGGTTTATAACACTTACTTCAACTAGAAAGAAATTCAACTATAGATTTGGAAAATATATTTTAGTTTAAGTTCATACAGTACAGAGATGAACAGTACTCTACAGAAAAGGTGCAGCCTAATAGTTTGTAATAAATACAATGATGTCAATGGACAGCTTATTCTTTGGGTGATTAGGTTTTGCTTCCTTATGGCACATTAGTACCCCTGATGTTTCTTTTAAATTAAGTCATAGCTTTATTAAATAATAATGACATGATAAATCCTGTAATTTACATTTCAACGTGAGTGAATGGCATGTGTGCAAACAGTTTTCATAAGAATTTAGTGAAAGAATACAAATAATAAAGTATAACAATTAACAAACAATGATTAGCATAATATACTGAAAGCCAGAGCACATTAGCTTATTCTGTATTGAACTGTTTCAATGACCAGTCCAAAGGCAGTCAAGACAAAGTCAATACAGAGTTCAGATCAAATCAGTTTCAAGTAAAACTCTGCAAAAGGTTGTTGATAATAATGTCCTAAATACTTGGGCATTTTGGAGGGATGGCTTTATGTCTGTCAGTCACAAGGGTGTGTTGACCTCCTGTAGGTTTAAGCCCGGGGTTAATGCAAAGATTAGGTTAACAAACAACTTTTTACAAGCTTATTATTAAAATGTACAATTACCTGATGCAAGCAAAGGAGTAAGCGCACCAGACACACATCACTGTGTGACGCAGGATGTATGGCATTGACCCGAGGTTAGATGGCAAGTTCTCAGGTAATCCTGTTTTTGAACACCACATTTTTATTGTAACGCAAACACAGAACGGACAGATAGCTTATGAGAAGATATTCACTAAATATTATGAAAGTGTTTTAGATTAGAATCGCTGGCTTATCGATACTTTGCACACAGAGACATTCATTTTGTAATTTGTTGTGCCATATTCTGGGAATACAATAGTAATACAAAAGTGTGCCTGTGCACCTGCACTGCAGAACCTGTTTAGGTAGCAAAGCTACTTTGTAAGGTTTAGAAAGGATAGTGTTTCGGGTTAGAATACTTAAGGAAGTGGGGTTATTTTGTGCAAAAGATACGGAACAAAGAATTCAACATTGACTTTTAGTTTCACACGGGACAGAGGTTGAGTTTGATGAACCCACACATCAACCTCAACCTCCTCCCAATAAAGACTTTGTTGCTTTTTATACTACGTCACCTTTCCTGGCTCACAATCAGGTGTGTCACATACTATTTATAGTGCATTGCGTTTTTAGGTACGTATAAAAAGTGCATGAGAAAAGCCTGTCAGTCTAAAAACCGTAGTTGGCTGCGTGTTAATTACAGTGTCCCTTAAGATGATGATAATAGAAAAATATTGTAACTACCTTTTAAATAGCTGATAAGTAATAAAAGATTGAAGATTTTTCAGATACATTTACCAACCCTGACCATGAATACAGCAACAGAGAAACTTGGTTGTAACATATAAAGGTGGTGACCTAAGGACCATAACACTTGGAAAAAATGAAATAGAGTGACTGGAGAACAGAATCGTGGTTGAAATCAACGAAGACATTCTTTCCATCAAAGAAGTAGATCTTTCCTGGGGTCAGTTTAGGGAAGCTGAAGCAGTCAGGTGTCTTCAGGATGTGAGGCAAGGCCAAATGTGTCATAGTGGCATTTCTTCCATGGATTTTCAGCACATCACGAAACACGATGCTGTTCAGAGACACACTGTCCACTGTCCCGATTTGCACTAAACAGGGACATAAACACAAACGGTTTTAAGCACCACTGTACATTTGTCAAGAGGCATCTTTAGATGTATGTACACAGAAATGTGTAGAAAATGTTAAACCTATATCTTACTTTTGTTGCAAAGATCTGATTCATTCAGATTGTTTATGGAAAGGAGTTTGGATTCTGAAAGGACATAATACACGTATATTATTGCTAAGATCCAGAAACTGAACCATGCATGTTAAAGTGACAAAGATCAGATACTGTTCTGTTAGGCAAGCATCTCAGAACTGACCGTTGATACTCTTGATTTGGTTCTTTGCTGGACTCAGCCTTTCTGCGCAGCATGACCACAGTGAGGCGTTGAAGTACTGGTGACCACAACATCCGAACCCACTCTTTTTAGAGTAGAGCACCTCATTGAACTCGCTGGAGCAGCAAACACTCTAAATTTGAAGTAGACATTATGTATAATATGAATGGTCATATTCATGAGAAAATAAGACAGAAAAAAAAATACTTTCTTTGAAATTTGAAGACAAAAGATAATCAAGAACCATTTGAATCTTAAACATGGCATTGTTTTAGGTGAAGTCAATCTCACATGTACTGTCCTCATGGTGAGTTTGTTGGCCTTGTGAGGTTTGGCTGTTTCTCATCATAGAAATATGTTGTCACCGCAGATACATCACACATAATATTCAAGATTCACTCACACCACTTAACAGTTGTGAAGTTGAAATCCAAATGGTTTTGGGTATCATTATTATTACAAAATCCTACCTCTGGGGTTTGCAGAAGGGATCCACAGCAGTTATAATATTTCTCTCCACTTTGTCCAGTCAGGTTGTAAAGTCTTCCCGCACAGCACTTCTTCTTTGGGTCTGAGATGTTGTAGGCTCCCCCCCCACAGCAGTGAGAGTTTCCATTTTTGGCATGCCTGGGGAAACATAGCTTTGTAATATCAAATCAGGTGATTGAGATTAAGAACAAAGGACTTGAAGCCTGGAGCGTATAGTCTTATCTTTTTAATCAGACATGCATAAGAGGCTGTTTAATGTTAATCAGTAAACCGACTTGCATCTCCAGCAGAGACGTCTGGGTCTCTTGTCACCTGAGAAGGGTAAATCCAACCTGCAGTCTCCTAATATCTCTGGTGTAGTCTACCCCACCTCCTCAAAAAACATATATCTGGGTCTTTAGCTTCCCTAGAATTTTTCACCATCTAATAGATCACTTAAAAAGACTAATCCTTTTCAAGCTGGTCAGCTAGGATAGGGATTGATGAGTAATTTATATAACAAATTGAACTAATAAATAAACCAAAAAAACCAAAGCTTACTAAACTAAAAGAGCTGCTGAGTCAGACTTCTCTCTGGATTTGTCATTTGATTATTTTTAAGTACTGAATAAGTTAAGATTCAACCAAAAGACAGACTTGCACATACTGTAACTCTTAAACTCTTAAATGTCAGGGCCCTATCAAGTTTTAGTAAACCACTGGTAGACACAACAGGGACATGCAGAAGTATTGCCAAACCTTCCCACACACACGGCAGATGTTCATAAATGCAGTTGCAAACCCAGACAGTCAGTCATTCCGTGGCTCAATGGTGCACAACAATTTCCAGAGGCAATCAAAAAAGGAGGCACATGATCAGAGCATGGCTGCTGGAATGCCTTCCTGTCTGGGAGACAGTATTTAAACATCAACAAATAATTTTTCCTTGCACCCTAACTCACAAGAGAAATAGCGCAATTCCATATCCATCAGTTCATCTTTGAACACCCACAAAATACATACCAGACACTACAGCACTCAAAAGTGAGCCAAAACACATACCAGGCACTGCAGCACTCAAAAGTGAGCCACAACCCTTCAAGTCTATGGCCAAAACATATACAAGACAATAAAGTGACCCCAAAAAAATGTTTACCGTCTCATTGAATTAAAAATGGTTTTCAATTATAAATATAAACACATGCACAAATAATCACCTTTGTCCATGGCAACAGATGTCCTCCTCAGGAAGATAGAGTTCTCTCCCGCAGTAGTGTTGTTCAGGTGAGGGATGAGTCCCTCCAGCTGAACATACATCTTCATCATCTCTGTACTTGTACAAGGTGCCTTTACGACAGAGGACTCCGCTTTGTGCCAAGCAATAAGATGTCTGTCCGAAGCACTTTAAGAATCACAGAAAACAAAGTAAAACTGTGCAAATGGAATTCTGAAAAAAATAAAGACCCAAAATAAAAAGGAAAATCGTCCTTCTGCTTGTGCCGTCAACATAAACAACACAATTGTAAGCAGCGTCTACTGTCCATTAGATCAAAAAACACAGTCACTCACTATATATAAGAAGCTGGGTGGAGCTCTGAGCCCGCTGACCTAAGCTGCACCACAACAGCAGTTTTGTTTTTTACAGTATAATCTGAGATGAATTTCTATCAGTTGTAAAACTACTACATTATTTATTTGCAAAATATAAAGAAATGTGATCCAGGTCGTTGTCAGAAGACCCATAAGGCAGCCACTTTTTTTAAGAATGAGGTGATGTTAACCAAAAACCCCTCAAATCTCACGGAAAGGGTGTAGTTTTTTTTTCCAAAGACAAACACAGAGACAAATATTTGACCTTTACAGAAAATATACTCCACCCAGCTGAGTTGAAACAGTTATCACATGTTTAGTATATTACTTGATCTTTCCAAAGTTTCCTTCCAGTTACACAGCCATCGCAGCAGATGTGCGCACTTGGGTCATACACAGGGAGGACACCCTCATCTACAGAACAGACAGGGATGGTGGGGTTAGGAGGAGAAAAAAAAGTAAGGTTATTAGGCGGTGTTGGGATGAATGACGTTGGGAAAAATGTAACTCAGAGGTTGGATCAATATTTGAAAATTTAGTTTACCAGCAAATATTTCTCAAGAAAGTTCCCTTTTTGACAGACACACAAGGAGACTGTTCTCTAATCTGTGCAAAGGGTGGAATAACATATGTGTGGTTTTATGAACTTAACATTATCCTTGAGGTAATTCTAGTAAATATCAAATGCTATAAAGGCAGTTTTATGACTTAAGACTGAACATATTTAAACATCTAAAAAAAGAAAAAGTCTACATTTATTCTTCCAAAAGAAAAAGATACATAAAACCAAGGTCTTATTGCTGTTTTCACGTTATGTTTCAGATGTTTCGACTATTCCTTCTGTAGTCTTAAATCTGTTTACACTTACTAACCCATGACCCCAATCTTTCCCCAACAAATGACTACATAAACAAATCTTGACCACTCCTGTGACAGATTAGCCCTCGTATGAAGTAATGAGTTTTGTAAATGTCATATGTAACAGTTTGTATAAGGAATATGCAATGTAAACTTAATAAGGTTGTTCGATCTGACAGCATGTGTTGTTTGGGATAAATCAAGTCTCACACCTTTTGCAAAAGGAGCCTTATATGTTTTGCTGCATAGCCTTTATGAGATACGATATAAAAGCAGCTATTCATGCTTGTAACATTGTTGATGTTTCCCACATGTCATAACTTGTGCGTGCCCAGGTTATTCAGGTTAAATAGACATCATAAGATCATTAAACCTACAGTTGGTCTTCTGGCATAGTAGCATATTAGTCCAACACTTCACAGTTTGCCTTTAGGTGTTTTGTGTGCAACTGAAGTAATATCGGCTCATGAATCGTATTAGGGGATTGTGTCAACACACCTGCATCAATATGATGACGTAACATCCAATAAAAGTAACTGATTAAAGTCCAACCCACACAAAACTACACACCCACTCACATACCTGAGGTGCAGCAGCATTGAGACTTTGGCTGTTTTTTGTCACAGGAGCTGGAACGCTTTGACCCACAGATACAAAATGTTGTCTCTTTGCTGTGGACGTGCAGAGATAAGGAAATAATAACCACAAAGGCACAATAACCAAGTATTGCAAACCAACTGAGTCAATATTTTCAACACAATATTGTTTGCCAGTTTTTGGCAATAATAGCATTTTGTTGTTCTCAGTAAGATAGTCAAAAACGTTGGTTTACTTACCAAATGAGCAGAGAAGAGGGTTTCTTGAAAACAAAACACAAAAATGTGAATATCTTTAAGCAATAGAGTGGTGCAGTGACGAGTCCTAAAACCCGGAACTGAGTCAGCATTTTACCACTACTGGTTCCCTCGTCACAGAGCCAATGGGATTCCTCCATAGTTTTTGGAAAATAGCTCGAAATAAGGTCTGTGGTTGACATAAATTTAAGAGACGGATCACGTTTTGTTCTTCGACATTAAATACACCAGCAGTGACCCCACTGGTGATTTTTGAAGAGTTTACGTGTCTGAAAAACGATGGTTGTTAACAAGTGGCTGAATAGGACTACAGAAGTTGTCGAGGACGTTGTACGTCATTACGCCGAACACGTAAACACTCTTCTAAGTTTGTTTGCCCCTGTTCTGCTTGAAAGCAAGTACCTGGCTCTTGCAAACTGTTAAAACAAACGCTTCAACTTGTACAATTTTGAGTCTGTATTTTTATCGATCTTAAGTTGGCGTGACGTTGAAGTCATGCGACCCCGCTCATTTATAGCATAACGTTTGCATTTTGCTTCTGGTGATTAGATTTATGATTAAAAAATTATAAAAGTAGGAGACATGTGGAGATCATCCGGCTGACCAAACGTGCATTTATCAAACAGGTTCGTTTTCCACAGACCTTATTTCGAGCTATTTTCCAAAATCCTATGGCTTTTTTGTCTAGGGAACCCATGCACAGTTTATTTCCAGGTAAATACGTCATCCCTGCACCACTCTATTGCATCCAATCTAAGTGGGAGTATAGGTGTTTTATTTGTTCATGCTTTGTTTGATTGAAGACCCATTGTATCAGTCTTAAAAAAACACGGGAAGTTTTTGTTTGGTTCCCAGAATGTTCATCAACTCCAGTTCGAAACCCGCCTCGGCCACCACTGCGTCACTCAGGCCGTTGTGTCCTTGGGCAAGACAATTTACTCGCATTTGCTCCTGTGGGTAATGTCCGCAGTAATGACTCTTACATGTCTAATATGTGTAATGTGTAATTGTAAAGCGCTTTGAGCACCTGTACTGTAAAAGCGCTCTAATAAAAAATGTATTGCATTATTATTATTATTATTATTATTATTACGTTCTCTAAAAACATTCTTAAAATGTTTTTGATAACATTGTTAGAACATTATGCCCTACTGTTCTTAAAATGTTTTCAGCTGCAAGTTAGATTTCTTTATGTTGCCAGAATGTTATTATTTTAGAGAAGGATAACATACTTTATGTTTAAAACATTATGTAAATGTTCTGTGGTAACAATTTACTAAAATATTTGTACAATATTAGAACATAAAGACAAAAAATTCCTGTAATTGTTCAACTCAAAATTCCTGGGTAAGTGGACTAACCACTCATTAGGATGATTTTGATAGTCAGAATGTTGCTTTGAAAATGTTCTTCATTTGTTATCATGTAACATTGAGGGAACGTTTTATATAGAACATCTTTAATGTGTTACCCAACAACGTCCAAATCACATCCTTAGAATGTTGCAGGCAAAACGTTCCACCTTTGTTAACATATCACATTAAAGGAACGTTTCTCAGGCCTTAATAACATCCTCAAAGCATCCTCTGAATGTTGCAGTTAAATTGTTATGTCTTAGTTAACCTTAAACCTTATAGGAACATTATTTGAAAAAATAAACATCCTAAAAAGGTTCTTTGAACATCAGATTAAAACGTTTCTTTAAAACCTTATTAGAACCAATAGGTAACGTTAGCCAAAGTTGTGAGAACGTTCCCGCTGGGTAAGTTACCCGGTCAGTTCATTACATAACATCTTACAGTAGCCTTTAAAATCAACAGCGACAGGTGGGGCCATAGATTCTCCTCATCTTTGTTGAAGATTTAAGGCAACACCGTGTGGTAAGTTAAATGTCACCTATTATGCAAAATCCACTTTTTCATGTCTTTTATACTTTACTCTGTGTAAAGAGATTCTGAAAGTTTCAGGAAAAAAGATTCGCTCACTTTTTGTCCTGATCCATTGATATAAAAACCTGTCTGAAAATGATCTGATCTTGCACTTTATGATGTCATAACGTTTTTTTGGCTTGTGTAACCATTAGCCAATAAACAACCAAGGTAACCCCCCCCACTTTAACACCTGAATCTTCTCCTACAGCACCATTGTTTTGTTTTTTAACCAATCTCTCTCAGAGGGGCGTGGGGAGTGGCTCCTTATTTTCATCTAAAGCAACAGACAGAGAATCAGCACTTTTGAAACAGGGCTGAAAAAGAGGGGATTATGGGTAATGCTGCAATGATCTGTTTGGTGTTTGAAGCCAAACACTTCAGAGACATATTTGTATATATCTGAGACCTATAATAAAGTAATGAGAAACAGTATAATAGGGGACCTTTAAAGGATTGTCCCTTGATAGTCTCTTGTCTGTAAGTATAGTGACTGTTGTAGCTCTAGCATTGAAGGTGAGTTACACAGCCTTCCGTCGAGGATTGACAACGTAAACTCCAGAGCCTTGTTTCATGGTGTGGACCGGTGTTAAAGCAGTATGGGGCATTAGTTTACATCTGTGGGGACACATTTATCATCCTGGGGCTGTCAGCAGTATGTCACTGTCTTTGCCCCCCAGGCCTGCAGCCACCACAGGGGTTTGACAGATTTGTGTGTGTGAGAGAGAGACAGAAGGAGAAGGATGGGGCCCCGAAAGGCGCCTTCACCCTAAATGACCTTGTGTGTAAGTGATGTAATGAGACAAAAGATTAATGATATAGAGTAACAATGTGGACTTTCCTTGTGCTCACACTATAGTCTAAATGCATTGATATCCATCTCTGATCAAATGTATTTCTGTAATGGAAAGAAAGAGGGTACTGCCAACTCTGTTAAGTCTCTAACTAAATGATGGATGACACTTTCTCTTTTTAGAGAGCCAACCAACCACAGCACCGGGCAGAAAAAGAGTCTCTATTATTTATTATAAATGTCAAAGGCTCAAAAGATAATATGTCAACTGGGT